TAAGATGGTAACTACAGGGAGAAGCTTAGATTTGCAGTAAGAACAAGGACTGATTAACAAGAGTGGGAGGTATCTGGAATGCCCAGCTGGTGTTGGAAGAACACCTATCTGGAGTGCAGGGCAAAGATGTGATAGAGTGTGCCAAAGCCATCAGCAAGGGTAGATGATCACCAAAGAAAATGAATGGAATGATGATAGTCGGGGACTAAGCATGCCTTGGAGATTTAATCTCTCCAAAACAGACATTTTTACTCCATATATCAGATTGTCAGCCATATTGTGAAGAGTTTCAGTGTTACATAGCTCACTACCTAAAGTTCGTTTACTTATTCATTACACAGGTCTGATGATCAGAGCTAGCATCTTTCTTCTTAGCTGGAACATGCCTCCAGTCATATAGTATAATGTCCCGTTATCAGGTCTTCAGTTCAGTGGTCTGCCCACTGAAACAACAAAGAACAAAACATCACGATTTGCCATACATGGGTTCTATACTTCAAGACAGCAATAAAATCCTGCTTACGATTTCTCTTCTTCCAGTTAAATGACCTGCTTCCTTCAACCCATAACCACATGACAATTTTCAGGGAAACTCCTCTGGAATACACTCTGGCACACCCACAAAATGCAATTATTAGAGCTGAGCGCAGTACTGCAAATTAGATTAGAGTCACACAAAATAGAGGTGAAAAGTCTCTAGCACTGAATGGGGGTCTCTCATGTGGCAGTTACCACCTTCCTGATTGGCCAATTCAGCATTTCATTTGATGGGGTGTCCAGGCTTATAAGGTAGTTCACCCATAGAACAAATGGAAGTAAATTTCTATACTGCTAAAAACAGGAGGTTACTATAGCAACTGTAATTTCCCAGTGTAATGATACACTTGGAGCTCCATCTAGTCACCTAAAACCCAGGCTGTGGTCATGAACTGGCTAATAACTTTCTCTGGGATTTAGAGAAATTGTCTAATGCTATGGATATTAGATGTCTATAAAGTTGATTAATACCATCTAACCTATCAACCTTGATCAGGGATTTTGATAGAATAAATTAAGACAAAATATGTGAAACAGTTAGAAAAAG